ATTTGGTTCACCAAGGACAAGCATAGTTCTGTAAGTACTGAATAATGGCGTTTATCTTGAATCAAATTTGGGTGAATTTGTGATCCTCACCATAACATACGATCCCACAAGAAGTCCGCCGGAATTGTAACAACCAAGCCATTCCAAGTTATTAGCTGTTCAAGAATTGTAGAAATGCGTTGTATTATTGGACTATTTTAGGGACGCTTCATTAGTAAATTGACATTTTATGCACCAAGAAACGAAAGTTTCAAGTTTCAAGTTTCCGATCACTTTTCTTTCACTTTTCACCACAGCAAGTGAAAAATCCGTATAAGAGTAACCAGCTGAGCGGTGAACGCGGCGCGCAAAGCATGAGTGGAAAAAAATGACCGGCCCTAGAACGAAAAAAACATGGCAGTAAAATGATTTTATTATATGTTATTCTTCCTTTTCATATTTCTCTTTCTTATAGAAACGTTTATTATATTTTAGTCAAAAGAAAACAAAAAAATAAGCCAAAGTTGGGTTACAGTTGCTCGGGAATAAGGGCCTGCGGCAAAACAGCTAAACGCGCTGTGATTGGCTGAAATAAAATTCAACGCCTACAGGAATAGTGTCTTTTACAGCCCCATGATGCAACGCGGCTTGCAACTCCGGAAGGGCTAAATAATACTAATAATAAAGGAATCCAATAATTTTCCCATTATTATTACTACTACTACTRCTATTTTCATCTTTTCCCTGATTTTATTTTAGTAAACCAATTAACTATTTTTATTTTGTTTTCTTTTCTTCAGTTCAAGCACGAAGATAAATATGGGAATGATTTCTTACAAATTCTTTCGTTCTTTTTTGACGAGTTTCGGCTACACATGTATTCCACATAGTAATATAAAAGATCTATGTATTCCATGTGATCAGGGACATTATAAAACCAATGCCTATGGCGAGCTCAAATGTCAAGAATGCCCACCGGGTAAATTTGTTTTTGTACGAAAACGTATATAAAAACTTTATTTTATAACTATCCCGTTACGGAGGTCTTTCATGCCGTAATGACGGTGACGGTGACGGTGACGGTGACGGTGACGGTGACGGTGACGGTGACGGTGACGGTGACGGTGACGGTGACGGTGACGGTGATCGATGATGATAATGATGGTGATCATGATCATGACGATGTTGATGATGATGATGATGATACTACTACTAATAGTTTGAGAATTGATTTAACTTAATACACCGTATGGTTTGTGATGTTTAGAAACTGACGTTTCGGACGTTAGTCCTTCGTCGGAGTAAATGTGATACTACTAATAGTTTGATGATCTGATGATGAAGATAAGAAAGATAACGATATTTATAACAATAAAGATAATGGCAATAATAATATTAATAATAATAAAAATAATGATAATAATAACAATAAATTTGTTAGGTGGTTTTTATCAAGACGCGATTGCATACGTCGGCGAGATTGTGCATGGTCTTGGATGTAAACAGTGTCCTGCAGGATCTTACGTCAAGCCGGAAAATGCTCCTGGGAAAACAATGGAATCGTGYTCTGCTTGTCTTGAAGGTGAGATATTCACTCAGAGCAAGGGTGGATCCAGCCAAAATTTTAGGGGGGGGGGGGGGCTAATTGCGTTTCTTCCTTCGACACAAAGGAAAACTATAAAAAGAAGCATCTAATTCTTCGGTTTTGTTTTGTTTTGTTTTTCTGCTGAAGGAGGGCTTCAGCCCCCCTTCCTCCCCCCCCGACCCGCCCTTGGGATCAAAACAATTGTAATTGGATACTGCATAACCCTTACCGCACAGTTGACCGTTGTATGATGCTTGTATCAATGGAATGATAGGAGTTGCAGGGTTGTCGGAGACGGTGGGGCTAGGGGGCCATACCCCCCCCCCCCCC